TTATCCAAAATATGTAGTAAAAATGATATAATCAATTAAATTTTATTCATTTTTATTAGAGTTATACATAAATGACTTGTATATTTATACCAATGTGACATTTACCTAATCATTAAAAAATGCCTTGATCTATGCCCAACTTATGAATCATTTGACCTATTTATTTATTAAATTGGTAAATAAATATCTATAAGTATTTTTTATTTTTTTAAATAAGAATTATGAATTTATTTTATGCATATCTATTAAAAAATTTAAACTTACATAAAAAATTATATATTTATGTTAACATTATGAAATAAATAGTTACATATATTCATATACTAAAAACTTATCTAAGATAAAGCCGCCCTAAATTATATGTCGTATTTTAGCTTTAATCTTAGTAAAAATATTTGATAATAATAAATTTAAACATTATGTATAAATTATATCATAATTTATCGATTCGTAACCGGTATGAGCTAATTTGCAAGTTCTAATATAATGGGCCAATTTTGGGCCCCGTTTTGATGATCTAACCATTCACATTTTAGGGTTTGTCGACATCATCCCTGCAAAAAATCAAGTCAATCAAATAATGGAAATCACGTGTTTGGATCAATTTTGTATGAATTGTTTATTTTCTCACAATCCATTTTTTTCATACAAAATTGATACAAACACATGGTTGCCGTTATCTGATCAACTTGATTTTTTACAGATATGATGTACCTGACGAATCCTAAAATATGAATAATTCAAATTATCAAAATAGTGCCCAAAAGTGAGTGCACAAGACCCAACACCACCTTTCTAGTCCGATGGAGGGCTGGAGAGAAGCCCAGGCCATGTTAAAGAATTAATAATGTTTAAATTTTAAGTTAAAGAATTAATTATTTTCCATGTGTACGTATGAATGTATCAAAATCATGCATTAATGCAATTTTAGAGAAGCAATTTTGAAAATAAATTTGGTATGGTAAACATAAATTAAGTAATTTGAAATGGTAATTATGGTGGCATAATGTAAGGGTTTAATATAAAACTCTATGAATTTAATTATGAACTAATTAAAATGCTACATATAATGACACTTAGTATTTTTATTATTAAAAAAAATTAAAAATTAAAAAAATTTGAGTTGAGAGTTTGAATCTTAAAGAAACTCTATTAACGTTTACTGTGTATGAAAATAATGAGATTTGATATATATATGTTGGCCTATTTTGTGAACTCGGTTAAAAATAGCTTTTTGACTTTTGATTTTTTTGGATCACATCACATCTCTATTTTTTTTGCACTTTTTTTCAAAAAAAGCAAAAAACAAAGTAAAAAAGTCAACTTTTAACCTACTTTCCAAAATAAGCTGTTGAGTAGTAATGGCCATGATGAGGAAAAAGAAAAGAAAAGAGAAAAAAAGACATGTTACGAAATTTTAATTATATAATTTATTTTATGTTTTATGGTGAAGAATTTAAAATATTTTACGACAAAATGTTTTTGAGTGTGTGATTTATTATTATTATTTTCTTGATTGGAAAACTCTTTCCTTGTTTTATGGAAAGGAATGAATGATTTTAAGAATAAAAAATGCACTCTTTGTTTAAAAACAAAAGTGTTAGTATGTCATTTATTAATTATTTTTTAAATTGAAAAATTAAGAAAATTAGATTGACTTTTCTTAGCTCTTCTCACTAAAAGCCTGCTTTCACTTATATAATAGATAGATAGATAGATATGTGTGTGTAGAATTTGAAATAATATCCCAAAAATATATCCTTTATAATATGATATAATTACCCTACTTAAGGAACAAATTATTCAATGCAGAGAGACATTGGCATGCCAATGTCCAAAAATAATCTAAGCTATTAATTTGTGCAAGTCAACCATTCATTACACAAATAAACTATCGGATTGTTTTCTTGAATTGATCATCTATCATATATTCATGTTCAAATGGTAATAAGCAGGGAGGGACGGAGCTCATTTTTTGAAAATTACATTTTCATCTCTAATTAGAATAATTTTTTTTAAAATTTTTTTTTTAATTTTCAAGTATGTTTCAAAATATTTATATCTTATCTTTTTTTCCTCTGTCTTTTTAATAAATTCCTTATAATTTAATATTATAAATGTTTAATTTTATCAAAATATTCTCTTATAATTATTTTTATCTCTCTCATTTCTCTCTTCTTTTTCTTCACATCTATCTTCTTCTTTTTTCATTTTTCATTTTTTTATATGCATGTTATTATATTTTAAATTGTGATTATCATCATATTTAGTAACTAAAATAGCAAATAAAAAAATCATCGGTTAATTAAAACATATCTAAGGCACATAATTTTGGTATCACGTTGATCTTTGGTTATTCTATCACCAAATGAATATTGGATTTAATTAAGTTTTGTAATTGATATCACTAAGGATTAATAGTGCTCCTATGAATCAAAATCTTGGCTCCGCCATTGGTAACAAGTTGTAGCCATTCATTACACAAATAAACTATTGGATTGTTTTCTTGAATTGTAACAAAAGACATGGAATTATGTTTAATAGTATTTAAGAGAAAAATGATATGAGCATCTTATCTTCAAGTTCAAATGGTAATAATTATATATTCCCTAATTAAATAACTGTAATTAAGTGTAATATCTCTGCACCATATCCTCCACATTAAACATTAAAATTTTAATTTAGCATGAAATACCCCAAGCTCTTAGTATAAAAGAAAATGGATGTTTAACCAAACATATATACTTATGCATAGTAGGCTTATTTTTGTCTAAAGAGAGCTTGATAATTAGAAATAATAATAGGGTTTGCAAAGATGTATTTGCTTGGAACAACTACTCTTAGGCCCGGATCCAATAACATCTGCCCCGACTCCAACTGGAGAAGACTCCGCACTTTCTTCGAAGAATTTTGGGCTTAAGAGGCTTGTTCCACGAGGCCCGGATCCAATAACATCTGCCCCGACTCCAACTGGAGAAGACTCCGCACTTTCTTCGAAGAATTTTGGGCTTAAGAGGCTTGTTCCACGAGGCCCGGATCCAATAACATCTCCCCCGACTCCAACTGGAGAAGATCATTTTGGGCTTAAGAGGCGTGTTCCATGAGGCCCGGATCCAATAACATCTCCCCCGACTCCAACTGGAGAAGATCATTTTGGGCTTAAGAGGCGTGTTCCATGAGGCCCGGATCCAATAACATCTCCCCCGACTCCAACTGGAGAAGATCATTTTGGGCTTAAGAGGCGTGTTCCATGAGGCCCGGATCCAATAACATCTCCCCCTCCGACTAGAGAAGATCCTATCTCACATACTTAACCTGTTTTGAGTGGTGCGAAACCAGTGTCTAGTGACAACCAATATGAAGAAATTTATTTTATCAACATTTAGGTTCTATATGAAAAGTTGCTAGTGGTATGAACTATATGCATTTTAAGTGTAATGAGGCTAAATAAAGGTCTTGCAACTTAATTTCTTATAGTAAAGATTATTATTCTTATAATATATATATATATTAAAAATTATTGGGAGACACCAGTATGTTACAATTTGGTAGTTTGGTGTGACAAATCACTGACTTGTTGAGCCAGCAACAATGAATTAGAACTAGATGCTAATATAATATAAATTAAAATATAAAAACACCACTCTAAAAGTTCTATGAAAAGAAAAAAAAAAAAAAAAAAGGTTCCAAAAATTGTAAATATTTTTCATGAAGTGTGAGGTCAAATTACAATGAACCGGATTAAGGATAAAAGTGATTTGATGTTACCATTTTCCAATACTTTACTTCAAAAATGCTTCGAGCTTTTTCCTTCTTAAAATTAAATTTAAAAATAAAAAAATAATAATAAAAAACAGCTTCAAATATGGGGTTCCGTAGTTTTGGATGGATGTCAAGTTTTCGATTATATGTTTAACTTTTATTGGTTTTGCTTTTGGTTTTCAAAGTTATTTTAGTATTTTAATCCTATACAAAAGCATTTGACGGTGTATGATTGCTTTATAATCTGAGAGAGTATTTTTGTAATTTCCAACATTATAAACAAAAAAAATTATATCTTCATCAAAACGTCAAAAATATTTTCATATTTTTCTCTATATATAAGGCTTTGCGAGATAAAATGGGCTAGCTACGGAGAAGGTTTACATATTTCAACTTTGGATGGACAAAATTGGACAAGATTTGGTTTATTTATTTATTGGTGAGTGGAGAAGTTGCATAACTCTGTGGTAAAACTCAAATTCGAAGATTTTGCTTCATAAGGGAATACTTTTTTTTATTTTTTTTATTTTGGAGATTGATTAGTCTTATATTTTGAATTTATGATTCATATAGTCTTATATTTTTTCTTGTGATTCATTTGATCCTTTTGAATATATAATAACTCATTTGTCCATCACAATAGACTGTCACAATTGGAAAAAGTATACTTTGAAATTTTTTAGTGTCGCACCATATCCGTTACATTATAGTATCACATGTTACATTTTGAAAAAAGTATAATTTTTTGGAGTATCACATCATATTCGCCACATTATCACATTTGGAAAAAGTACATTAAGGAGTTTTTTAGTTTTTTTTTTTAGTATCACATGTAATTTTTTTGAAGTGTTACATCATACTTGTCACAATATATCTTATTTGGAAAAAGTACACTAAAGAGTTTTTAGTTTTTTTGAAGTATCACATCACACTTGTCACGTTGTCACATTTGAAAAAAGTACTATACTAAAGAATTTTTAATTGTCACATCATATCTACCACATCATCACATTTAGGAAAAATATTTTTAATTTTTTTGAAGTGTCACATCATACAGATTGCTGTCTGCTGCAGTAGCCTGTTCCTCCTTGGTGCTCTGTTCTGGCTTTGTTTAGGTCTGATTCTATTGTTAATTTGCATTTTGCTGCTGTGATCACTGATGCATCAGCTCCTCCACAGTTAGGGTGCACAGTTTTGGCTGCTTAGACAGTTTGGCTGAAATTCTGTTATGATCAGATATGGGTAGACAGTTTGGCTCTCAGTTTGGCTGCTTCTATCAGTTTGGCTCCTTTCACAATCTGCTACAGATCTCTGCTGATATAGAAGGGCTGGGTTTGATCTGTGTGCGTGCAGGGCCTCCGCACAGCTCATGTCATATTGTTATTCTCAGGAGGGTTACTGATCTTCTGCTTCCTATTTGTCTGACTGATCTGTTGAATGCATTTGATCTGTTGATTTGGCTTCTTTGATCTGTTGATTTGCTGGGTGAAGCTCTGTAATTCTGAGTTGATTTCTGTTATGCCGCCTTCTTTTTGGTGAACTCTATGATCTTGGTCTGCGTCTTCAGAGGAGTGTTCTGTTTTGGATGTTTTTGCTGCTGCTTTTTACTTTTTTTCCTTTTCTCCTCTTGTTGGTTCCTCACCAACCGGAGCTTTGAGCTTCATCTAGCTTCGAGCTCCTCTTTATTGATGTTCTCCTTCATTTTTGTTTGATTTCATCAATAAAGATTTTTTGCCGATCAAAAAAAAACATCATACAGGTCACGTTGGAGTGTCACATGTTATATTTAGAAAAAGTGCACTAAATTTTTTTAGTTTTTTTAGAGTATCACATCATACCCACCATGTTGTCATATTTAGAAAAGTACATGAGGAGTTTTTAATTTTTTTAGAGTATTACATCATACCCGCTACGTTGGAATGTCACATTAATACATGTCGCATTGGAGTGTCATATCATATCTGTCATATTAATAAAAGGTTATGACTGTCCACCAAAACACTACCAAAATCAAAACTAGGAACACACGGAACGACACCGTCCACTAATAAGACTTAACTGATCAATAGAAAAAACTTGAGACTAATTGGAGTACTCAACCTTCAATTGGTCTATGTAATCATAGTTTTATTTAATTGATAGAGGGAGCTTCAAAATCTGGAAGATGAACAAAATAACCGTGTTCGTGGCTTTCGAGAGGTGATCGATTTGATTTCTACTTCTCAGAAACCTGTTGTTGCCCACAACTCACTTAGTGGTCTGTCTCTTGAATGAACAGCTTTCAGTCAATTTAAACTATACTGGCCAACCTATTTCCTTACATTTATTGATTTTCCACTCCTATTTTTTCCTTGGTGCAGATTTTACATTCATTTATTCAAAATTCCTTTCCTCACTACCTTCTAGCATGGATGAGTTCAGGTGTTCTGTGCGTTTGGTTTTCCCCCACATACTTGATGTCAGCCATCTGATGAAGGAAATTGGCCTTATGAAAAAGGTGACCAACTTACCTGCAGCTATTTCGTCTTTAAAAAGACGGTTCTTTGCGCCTATTGATATGAAGATTTCTCACCAAGGCAAGTCACTCTTACATACTTGCCTCTCATGCTCACAGCATGATCTGTTTTAAGTAGTATATTGATTGGAAAATGCCTTCATGATTGGTTCTCTCAGTGACATGGAAAACCAGGGTATTTGCCAATATAGTTTCTGTCATCTTTGGAGAATTGAAATTGCTGCTAATTAATTGTATCTGATGTTTCACGAGGTAAACAGTAATTTAATGTTCCATTAACTGGCCAAGTTTCAATCTTTCAGATGATGCAAGCGAGAGCAATATCCATGGCCATGATGTTCTGAGGATAAGTGAATTGTTTGCTAAACTGTGCACTATTCTGAAAATTGCCCCTGTAACTCACGAGGATGAAAATGGCCATTTGCCTTCTGTACTTGAAGACTATACAAACATTTTCAATCCTTGCTCCACAAGTTCCCAAGACCACACTATTGATGAGGATGTCTCGGTTTGGACAGACAACAGAAGAAAAGTTGACAGTAAGGATTTGGTTTTCTTGTGGGGATTTAGAGGTGGGATGTCTGCCAGAACACTCAAGAAACTTCTCCATGATTCCCGTGATGTGTTCTCTGAAGAATTTGATGTTCAACTGCTGGATAAGAGTTACTTAGATGTATTTAAGGTGTTGGATTGATATGCATTTGTGCTTATAGCATATTATTCTACTTCAATTGTGTCAGACATTGTTCTAGAAATAACCTTATTTTTCATCCTCTAAATTGTGTAGGTGAGGATGAAGAAGGGGAAGGCATTGTCTTGCAATCACGGTATCCGTGGGAAGGAAGTGACCGAGATTATGATTACGAGGAGGTATGTTTTATGTTTTATGTTTACTGTTATGAGAGACAATTTTTATGTTTTTCCAAAAATTCTGCTCAATATGTTTTTCCAATAATAAAATGTATGAGAGACATATTTCATTTGGATGGCTCAGATGAATCTAAGTGTATATCAATGGTTTAGATCAATTGGTGGTTCCCGCCCAACACTTTCTCCCTGATTTGCCTGTATATCTACCCTGTGTATATCAATGATTTGCCTGCGTATCTACCCTCTGTCTCTCCATACTCTCTGTCTTCCCATACCCTTTATCTACCTTCCCTCTCTATCTTCCTCTCTGCACTGACTCTTCCTCAGTATCTACCTTTCCTCTCTATCTCCCTCTCTGTCTCCCCATTGCCGAATTCCTTGCTCTGTTTCAATCTTCTGGGTGTGTTTTTGGGTTTACCTGCTGGGTTCAGTGGGTCTGAAGTCATGACTTTAATGAAAACATGACTTTAATGGGTTTATTGAACTGCTGGGCTTTTAACTACTGGGTTTATTGAAGAAAAGTATCTTATTGTGTTGAAATGTATTTTGAAGTATCTACTGTTGAAAAGTATCAATATGTTCAATATGTATCTTATTGTGAAGAAAAGTATCTACTGTTGGAAAAGTATTTTGCTAATTCAATATGTTCTTCTTCTAAAATGTTCTATTGAACTGCTGGGTCTTCTTCTTGAATTTTTTTTTTTGCTAATTCAATATGGTCTTCTTCTTGAATTTTTTTTTCCTCTTTCAGCTTTTGCCTTCATCAGAGCTTACTTTGATTGTGGATCACTCTGACCACTCTCACCGTTGTTCACTTCGGCTTCGACATCACTTCGGCTGCTCGGCTGCGTTAGTTTATTGCTTTGCCTTCATCAGAGCTTAGTGTTTTTTCTATTGAGTAAGATTGAAGAAGAAGAATCATAAATGTGTTAGTTTTTTTCAAGTTTACTCTGTTTTTTATGACCAAAATCAGTTGGCTCTGTTTTTTATCACCAAAATTAGTTATTGCTTTGCTATGTTTTTTACCAATTTTTGTCTCTCCTCCTTTCTCTCAGTGTGTTTGGCCCATGCTATAGATTTTTTGAATTCCTGCTATCAGACATGAGATTTTTCAGTGTGTTGGTCCATGTCGAAAATGTTTCTGTCGAAAATGTTTCATCGATTGCATCCAAACCAAAAAAAAAAAAAAAAAAAAAAGGAAGAACTAAGGTGCAGTAAGTTAAAAATTAGGTAAGAGTTAAATGACAACTATAATTTTTTAGAATTTAATTTGCGTAGTTAAAAAATAAGCATTTATGATATCTTGTTATACAAATTTTAACTCTATTTAGTGTCTATTACTAATAATTTTTAACAATTTTTGTATTCTAAAGCTACTTAATTTAAAAAATAAAAAATAAAATCAAGGGATCACCTTTTTATTTCTTGATTTTGTTTTGTGTCAATAACCTATAAATTTTAACAATTTTTGTATTCTCAAACTACTAAATAAAAAATTACAAAAAAATAGCATCACTTTTCTTTTTAAAATCTTAATTAGTTTCATTTAAAAAAAAAATCTGTGTCAATAACCTATAAATTTTACCAATTTTTGTATTTTGAAGCTAATAAATAAAAAAATAAAAAAAAAAACTACTTGTCTTTTTAAAATCTTAGTTAGTTTTATTTTTAGAGATATTTACACACAAGTCTTAATTTATAAACTTATACTCCATTAAATTCTAATTAAAATTTTTTGGGCTTTCAAGTCCCATTAAATTTTTAATAGTCGGAATTACCTTTTAAACAATGATTATTTATCATTTATGATTATCTATAAAAAAAAATGATGATTTGACATTTGTTTTGATTTTTGAAATTTTAAAATATCAACTTTCAAATTGAAAAAACTAAAAAAAAAATTATGTGCAAAAAATAAATTGAAAAACACTAAATTATTTTTTTGTGCAAAAATGAAAATTTTGTGTCTATAAAGAAGCATGATGATAGAACATTGATGTGCAGAACTGGAAAAAATAAATAAATAAATCTTCAAAAATGAAAAAATTGATAATATTCCCAGTTTTAAAACTGAAAAAAAAAACTATTTAGTGTGTTTGGTTTGAGTTTTCTGGATTAAGTTTTTTAAAAGCTAAGTTTTTTTGTTTTCGTTTTCGTATTATTTTGTTTTTAGTGAATATTTTTTAAATTTTTAAATTTTTTTTATTTTTTTAGATGCACCTTAGTTAGATGTATTTAAAAAGTAAAAAATTTGTGAAAAAATATTTTAAAAAATTAATAAATACAAAAAAATACAAAAAATGTACTGAATTCTTGTATTTTTTTTTTTTTGTATTTTTGGTATTTAGTAAATTTTTAAAAGATTTGTTTTACAATTTTTTTACTTTTTAGGTGTATTTATGTTAGGTGTGTCTAAAAAGTAAAAAAAAAATTGCTTAAAATATTAAAAAAATTCTGTAAAAACAAAAAAATACGAAAAATAAGGATATAGAATTTTCTGAAAAGTGTTTTCTGAAAAATGAAAACAAGCAATATTCTCGATTTTATTGGATAGTTAAATCAAACCAATAAGTAGAAGTGTAAAAACGTTTAATCTCATGCTCTGTTTTTTTATCAGTTAGTGAAACAATTATCTGAAATATTACTATGCAAAATTGATAATGTTGTTAGTTTTAAAATTTGAGAAAAACTTATAATATTCATAGTTTTACTAAATAGGACTTATTGGTTTAAAAAATTTTAAATATGATTTAAGATATCATAACATTTGTAAATAAGACTTTTAGGTAATTAACTCTTATTTTTAAGAGCCGGTAAAGTGGCCTTGGTAGTGCTATGCACGATTATAAATAAATAATCAAAAAGTAGTTTTAAAATTAAATAATAATATAAAATTTATCTAAAATATGTAGTAAAAATAATTTATAATCAATTAAATTCTATTCATTTTATCAGTTTATATATTTATGTCAACATAACTTTCATCTAATCATTAAAAATTATCTTGCTATATGCTCAACTTACAAATGATTTGACCTATGTATTTATTAAATTGGTAAATAAATATAAGTATTTTTTTATTTTTAAATAATAAATATGAACATATTTTATGCACATCTATTAAAAAATTTGAACTTAGGTAAATAATTATATGTTTATGTTAGCACTATGAAATAAATAGTTACATAGCCACCCTAAATTACATGTATATTTTAGCTTTAATCTTAGTAAAAATAATTGATAATAATAAATTTAAACATTATTTATAAATTATATCATAATTTATTGATTCGTGGTCAGTAGGAGTTAGTTTGGGGTTCTAATATCGGATTAAATATTCAATAGGCCAAATTTTGAGCCCCATTTTGATGATCCAAACCAATCACATTTTAGGGTTCGTCGAGTACATCATCCTTGCAAAAAATTAAGTCAATCAAATAACAGAAATCACGTGCACTACTACAAATATAGATAAAGATCACACTTTTTTGGTGTGATGTATGTTTTTTAATCACACCTTTTAAGTTTTATTAAAGCGTGGTCTTTAGGAATGTGATTAAAAATGGTCATTTTTAATCACACTTTTTAAGTGTCATTAAAAAATGCTTTCATCACATCTTTTAAGTATGATTAATAATATTTAGATCACACCTTTTAAGTGTGATTAAAAACATTTAGATCACACATTTTAAGTGTGGTTAAAAACATTTAGATCACACCTTTTAAATGTGATTAAAAACAAGGGCAACCTTTTTAAGTGTCATTAAAAAATGCTTTTATCACATCTTTTAAGTGTGATTAATAACTAATAAAACCTGTGATAAAAAAAAAAATTGACATATTTAAAGAATAATCAATATTATTTTTGCACGCGCATTTGAATAATGTAATACACACTATATACTATATTTTGAATCACAACCATATATTGAATGAAATAATATCATATATTTCATAAATGAAAGTTAAATGTTTAAAAGTATATACAAAGAAATTAATAAAAAAAAATTAACTGTGATTACATACATTAAAAAATAAAAAATAAAAAACTTGAAAAAAGTAAGTTCTTGAATTCTTTGACCATATTTTGCATCTCTCCAAGAAATTTCTGACCTGAAAAATAAAAAAACAAATTAATTTAAAAACCGCCAGAAGCATATGAATAAACTTACTAATTAATTTATAAACTTACATTTAGATCACACCAAAAATAATGTAATTTATCCAGTTGTTAAACTGCCCCAATCCTTTCCCCACAGCCACCAAAAATGACATAATTATTTTGATTCTCCACACAAATAGTATAAAGCTACAAAAGATATTGATACCCTTGTAGAAGCCAAAATAAATCATCAAGGCATGAATGATTTCAAACTTCTTAAGCTAGAATAATTTAATAATAAAACAAAAAAGTGATCTAAAACTCAATATATGCACTTGTAGAAAATGACAATATTATTTGAGAAACAAGACATTTAATAAAAGATTAGATACTAAGCACGACACAACAAAGAGAGTAGGGATAATATGTATATGAGAGGGTAATTTTGGTGAAAATTGGGCCGAGCTATGAGATGGAATTTATGGCCCAAAGTACGAAGGACTGGGTAAAAAGGCCGAAAAGTTACTCCGGCCCGAGAGAGATAAAGTTACTCCGGCCCAAGAATTGTAAAGTTACTCCGGTCCGGAAACAACTTGGAGTTAGGCCGGTCTCAAAGTTAGTCCGGTCATGACGTATTGTGGTTAGAACGGCCAAAACCTTGCTACTCGGTAGCTCGGTCTAAGCATACCATGGTTTGTACATGAAAGAACCGAGATAGGGAGTAGAAAAGAAAGAACCGAACTAAGGATAGTTCGGCCTACTCTGTGGCTCAGCATAGCCAGTATTATTTCGGTCATGTGGTAGTTCGGCCATGGTAAAAACCATCTCACTTGGTTTAAGCAGTGCGGGGGGTGTTGAAGGATAAGCATTATCTTTCAGGAGTATGAATCCTAGGAGGACTCTGCATGGAGAAGTAGGAGTCCTACTAGGATTGTGCCACACGAAACCTATAAAAAGCTCACAAACATCACCTTGGAAGAGATAATACACAACTTTGCTTTCTGAATTCACAGAGCTTTGTCTATTTGTCAAGTTTGCTGACTTAGGCATCGGAGAGGTTTCCGACACACACCCGCCGGCTAGCTCACGTTTGTGTTTTCAGGTGATAAGGCGACGTCGTACGGAGGAGCGCATATTTGGTCAACAGGATTATACGAGAAGGTTTATTTCTTTCCCGTACAGTATACATCCACTCACTTATAGATCAATGTATTGTGCTAGTCTAAAACAATACAGTCTACACCATTCAAGTTTTTTCGGTGTCACTTATAGATCCACTCACTTCTCTCAAATTATTTCCCAGCAAAATACACATTAAACTCCCCTTGCTATTTTTTTGCTTCTTCAGAATCTTTGCTAATTGAATCTAGGTGTGAAATGATATATATAAAACTATGACAAACTCTAGTTCTATCAAACCTTATGAACAAAGTTTCCTTATATATGCCTAAAACACCAAATTATGAAACACCAAACATAAGCAAAATTAAAGCAATTATAGCAATTATAGTCCATTTCATTCCATATTACACCAAACATAAGCAAAATTATGAAAATCAGATTCCAAAGTAGCAAAACCAAACAATACCAAGCAATGTCATTGAAATCTCAAGTTCATTTTATTTGATACAAGACACCAAAAACACTAGTCGAAATTGTAAAATGAAGATCTCTCTTTTATGCTATTTTGTCAATCTTTATTTTGGACCTTTTTAATAAAATATTGAATTCCTTTAAACAGATTCAGATTAATAAAATATTAATAAAATATAAAATACAATCACAGATTCAATTAAACAGATTGAATGTAAACAGATTCAGTTTGAATGTAAACAGACACAGATTCAGTTTGAATGTAAACAGACACAGACTTAACAGACACAAATTCATGAAATTAACTGGGCAGTGAGTGTTCAGCTGAAGCACA